GAGAAATAATTATAGGTAACATTAGAAAAAAATACATTAAATATTAAGACAAATCCAAATTGAAGCTTATAACATGGACCACACCTCTATCTAAATTTGAAGCTTAGATATAAAATTGGAGGGAGTACAAAATAGGCTAAATTAGAAGCCAATAAAACCCTCGTAAATCACACAGTTTGTAACCGTGAACTTGCAATCTAGTAAAATGTCACTCTGTTCCTATTTATAGCACTTGTATCTTAAACCTACAAATCAAGAAATACATTGAATTGATAATTTTTTTTTTTTCACATGTGCCCTTGTCAGATAATGGGGTATTAAAACTACATTTTATATTTTTTTCTCACCTATTTATTTTATCTCTCTATATATATTTATTAAATCAATAGGGATAAAATTGAAACATACTCATTAATTATCTTACAAGTGACATATATTTAGAGCAAATTTTTTTCCTAAGTTATAAATCGGAAAAAGGTGGTAAAAACAGTTTTAAAATGGGAGGTCGTGGGTTCTGGCCTTAGTGCCTACCTCTCTAATTAAAAAGAAAACTAATAAATCACAGATCAGTTAAAAAAAAATCATGTTTGTAATAACAAAAGCATTCTTTATGACCGAACGGGTCTTTATGGATGATTATTTATGACTGGCGAAACAAGATGAATAAATAAAAATAACTGAGTCACATCCCTCTTTCTTCCTCTATTATCTGATATTTATTTATTTATTCTGTCTTTGATTTTTTTTAATATAATTCAGAATATCCTTAAGTCGCTTTAGATTTGAAACTAATCTCTGTAGGGCTAAGAGCATTAAGGTCAAAACCCTTCCAACAAGTATACTTCCTGCAATTCGATCTTGTATTCTTTTCCTTATAAAAATAAGATCGATTACTATCTCAACTAACAGTATGGTAGTCTACCTTTAATATTTAATATAGCTATAGTAGTAAGTTTGACTTCTACTGATTTGTAAATGCATAATTTATTTAAAATAACTTGGAGAATTGGATTGCATAAAAGCGCGCTGACTGAAACTTTTTTCCCCACTTGACTTGGAGATTTGCTTAGTAAATCTATTAGTACTTATTTTCTAGGGAAAATTACGTACAGGTCCCACAGAAGACAATTTATTCATCTAAGGTCTCACAAAATGTCAAAATCACTAACAGGTCCCAAGGGACCTCAGAGTAATATATTCTACTTGTAAAATGATATTATTGCCCTTCACATTCCAAATTCACATTTGCTCTGTCATTGCGATTTACAACCTCAACAGCGACTATTAACAACCCAATGAGAGGGTGTTAACAACCTAAGCAGTATCCGTTAACAACTTACTTTATAGAATCATATTACCTCCACATAAGAGTAAATTATAACCAAATAGTATAATATAACAACTTTAACACTAGAATGGGAAGCTTTTTGATATCATTAAGATTTTTACTAAACCCAATAGGATTATAGTAACATTTTAATGCGAAGATCTATTTACAACCTCAACGGTGAGTATTAATAACCTAAAGAGAACTGTTAACAACCTTAGCAGTGTCTGTTAACAACTAACTTTATCGGATAATATAACTTCTAATTATAACTAACTAAATTATAGCTAAATAGTGTTAAAGTTAATCTTATATAGTTGTTAGAGGTTATATTATCTTATAAAGTCAGTTGTTAACAGATACTGCCTGAATTGTTAACAGCTCTCTTTGGGTTATTAATACTCACCGTTGAGGTTGTAAATGGATCTTCGCATTAAAATATTGCTATAATTCTATTGGGTTTGGTTAAAATTCTTAATGATATCAAAAAGCTTCCCATTTTAGTGTTAAAGTTGTTGTATTATACTATTTGGTTATAATTTACGCTTATGTGGAGGTTATATGATTCTATAAAGTAAGTTGTTAACGGATACTGCTTAGGTTGTTAACGCCCTCTTATTAGGTTGTTAATAGTCGCTGCTGAGGTTGTAAATCGCAATGACAGAGCAAATGTGAATTTGGAATGTAAAAGGCAGTAATGTCATTTTACAAGTAGAATATATTACTCTAAGGTCCCTTGGGATCTCTTAGTGATTTTGACATTTCGTGGGACCTTAGATGAATAAACTGTCTTCTGTGGGACCTGTACGTAATTTTTCCTATTTTCTAAACGTAACTACCTTCAATTGATTGGAGCCCATATTAATACGGCTGTCTTAATTAAGTCTTGACATCAGATAGAAGACCAATCAGGGGCTGATTTAGACATTTCGAAGTAAATTTAATGTTGTATGTGTAACTTGGTTTTCTTTTTTGTGAATAATAAAGTTGACTCCTTTTTGGGGGAAAAATAAATAAATTTAATTTCGTCTTAATATTTTGAATAATTTTATTTTCACAGCTGTCAAATTCAAAACAGAGATAATTTTATAATTTTCAATTCTTCTAAAACCAATTAAATTTATCACTTAAAAATTACACATTCATAAATTCAAATAAAAATTTTCCAATTAAGTTAAAAAAATCTAAATTGTCGAAATTTAATTTGAGGAATTCAAATCTGATAAAGAGAACGAATAAGACCTAACGAAGATTCATGTGGGCCATTTCAAACGCTAGCATGTCATAATCTAATAACTGTGTGATTCATTATAGATATTATTTACAATAAACTAGTATGTGCTTAAGAAAATGAAAACCACTTAAAATTGTTAGGAGAATAGTTAATATTTTATCTCTGTCTTCTATCAAAATGCAGAAATATATGGCAGATAATAAGTTCAAATATATAAGAGCATGCAATGATGAAAATTAAACTAAAAACAACTAAGTTGTGCATAATTATCTCATAAAAAACAAAGAAAAAATTAATCTTCCTCTATTTTAACTTAATTTTCAAATAAGTCAATTACTTTAAATTAAGAGTAAAGTTGGCCCAAACCCCGGAGGAACACGGCAACGTGGTTGAAACGGATAAAGGAAGACTTGAGCTGACTTTGATTACTTCATTCTTATTATTTATAAAAGCAATCAAGAAAAACAAAATAATCAATATTATAGAAAATAAACAGAGAAGGAAATTTGAATTTCTCTTGTAATACAAAGGGCCAATCTTAACAATTCAAAAGTTAGTAGGGTTCAACACACAATTTTCTATAAGGAGGAAAAAAAATTAGGTGTCATAAGGCCCTTGGGCCTAATAGGAACACTGCAAAAATTTGAATTTTGAAATTTTCATTTTATATACATTATCTTTTTAATTTAACTTTTGGTATTTTTAAATTAAAGAATAAATATGAAACATTTAATTGAAAATTAATATTTATCTTTCAACTTATGTTGGAGCAGATAATGGCAACTAGCCAGCATTGTCTGGGGAAAAAAAAAAAAACCCTTCGTTACTTCCCTTCAGTTCTGCACAATGCCTTGGGCGGTCGAATGGATAAAAAGAGTCTTTTAATTGACATTGGTTAAAATATATATTTGATCGTTTATTTTTAGACAAGATTTTAGTTTATTTTTTAATTTTAAAAAGTATATTTTTAGTTATTTAACATTAAATTGCTAGTATTAAATGAGAATTTTTTATGTCAATATCGTCATTTTTTATTAACTGTTTTACGGTTAAATGACTAAGCCATTGGCATTTTATGATCTTAGATTCTAAAGTGTAATTATTATCTTAGTTATTTATTTTTTAAAAAAAAATGTGAGTTCCACTTCCAAAATTTGCGTATTTCTGCAAGGAGATGTAGAAAATACTGCAATCACAGACGACATTGCAGGTTAGATCCAAAAACGCAATTTAGTATTACAGTATATATCAGTTTTAAGTTGTATCTATGGCGATAGTAACACAAATTTATGAAGAACTGAATTAAGTTGGTTTATTATATGATTAACAATTAAGCGGATCCATGAATCTAGTCTAGTGTTATAAAAATAAATTATCAATGAAATGTCATTGATATATGTATATGTGTGTGTGTGTATAGAGCCATGCTTTTGTGTTTGCTCAAAGGAACACGGCAACGTGGTTGAAACGGGTCAAGGAAGACTTGAGCTGACTTGGATGATTCCATTTTTATATTTATAAAATCAATCAAGAAAATAAAATGGTTAAGACGTAAATTTATCTTAAAAGTTTTTACTTAGAAGCACCGAGCACCTAGTAGTTTTTTAGATTCAAATATGTCCTAGAAATTTAAAATTGTAACAATTTTATCTCCTACCATTAAAAATATTGATGATCAATGTTGTTATTATTTTAAGTTTTTCAGACAAATTTGTACCCAAAAAAAAAAATTTAGATGCTCAGTACTCTTGAGTAAAAATTTTTGAGGTAAATTTATACCTTAACTTTAAAAACAAAATAAACAATATTATATAAGATGAAAAACACATAAATACCCTCCTGCATGTCGAGCTTGGAGTGTTGCCTACGTACGTCGCTTCTTTCCCCTTGCTCTATAAATTTGCAGTAGACCAAAGAGGTCACTTATCAAGCTGCAACTCAAAGATATATATCTTTCAACATTATTCCGTCGATAAAGTTCACATGTTCTTCCTTGCTCTTCTTTTACATTTACTCAATGAAATGATTACTTTGTTATTTCTGTTTACTTTTTTCACTTATATGCGGAAAAGGTTATTTACTATGTGAATTTTTCCTTTGAAATACTGAAGCACGATAAAGAATATATCAAATGTTAGTGATACTTTGATTTCACACGCGCATAAATAGTGAATCTTGGGCTGCACCGTCTGTTGAGGTTTCTATAATCTGTTTTCTTTTCTTCAGTGAAACGGATATAATTACTTTCTTTGAATCTTCTATCAAAAAGTTTTGCTTTGAAACACAAAAATCGGTTCACTCTCTTCCATTTTAGTATTCCGTACTAATTGCCACGCGGTTTGTTGAAGTTCCACTTTTACATTTTTCGTCTCTTTACCATTTTCCAGAGGCTGATGGCTGTATTTATACTTTGAATGGTTCAGTTGCTTGCTTATTGCAATGGCACTTGAAGCTCATGGAGTTGAGTATTCTTCAAGCTGTTCTCGTTCATACAGGAAGCACAAGCATGATGTGTTTTTAAGCTTTCGAGGAGAAGACACTCGCAAGACATTTACAGACCACTTATATGCTGCTTTGTGTGACAATCGACTGATAACCCTTAGGGACGAAGAAGAACTGGAAAGGGGAGAAGTTATCAACCTGAGTTTGAATCAAGCAATTGAAGACTCTTTATCTGCAATTGTTGTACTCTCTAAAAACTATGCTTCTTCCAGATGGTGTTTAAATGAGCTCCTAAAGATCCTTCATTTTAAGAAAGAGCTGGGCCTTCATGTATTTCCAATCTCTTATGGCATAGACCCATCTGATGTTCGGCATCAAAGAGGAAGTTTTGAAGAAGCCTTTGTAAAGCATGAACAAAAATTTGCACATAACGAAGTGCAAAGATGGAGGGATGCTTTAAAGGAAGTTGCTAACATAGCTGGCTGGAACTCCCAAGATTATCGGTAATTTTACTACTTTAAAAAATTATCATGACTTTAAGTAACTTAGAACTTATTTCGGAGCAGGAATTGAAATTGTTTAACTTGGATATTGGTCTTTAAAAAGATTATGATATTATTATAAGATAGGAAAACATATATATATATTGATCTTTATATAAGAAATAAAAACATTTAAATTAAATGCATGCATGCATGTGCGCGTCTAAATGTGGCAATAAAAAATATATTGTGCCGTGGGGGTGTGTGTGTGTGTGTGTATATATAATGCATCTTCACAATTCGTTCTTTCATTTGCAAAGGTGACATCTATTTTTATATGCTAAATTTTTACTATGAATTTCGGCATTTCTCTCTTTTTTAAACATGATAAATCACTGCAGTAAAACCAGCATAGAACACAATTCAAATCATCAAATGACAATGCATTTTTTTTTTGGGCGAAAGTGATAGTTAGATATTATTATGATTTCTTTTGCAGATATGAAATAGAACTCGTTGATTTGGTTGCTGAAAAAGTGATGAGGTCAAAATTAAATGATGAACTGCCGTTTGACTTAGATGATGGTGAACTGGTTGGAATTGATGTAAAAATAGCAGAATTTGAGTCAGTTCTGTCAAATACATCGGAGGAAGTTCAATTTATAGGAATATGGGGAATGGGAGGGTTAGGCAAAACTACTCTTGCTAAAATTGTTTATGAGAGAATATACAAAAACTACGAAGTTCATTTCTTTCTTCATAATGTTAGAGAGAAGTCTGCAAAAGAAGGTGGTTTACTTTCATTGCAACATAAACTTCTTTCTCATTCGAAAAGAAGAAATCATATGGAAGTGCGTGATTGTGACGAAGGAAAAATGCTGATAAAAAAAAAAAGGTGGTGTAATACCAAAGTTCTACTTGTCCTTGATGATGTGAGTCTAATAAGCCAACTTGAGAATTTGGCTGGAAAGAAAGAATGGTTTGGTCAAGGGAGAAGAATAATAATAACAACTAGAGATCAGCGTCTTTTAGTTGAGCATGGTGTTTCTCAATATAAGATGAATTTCTTAAGTCAAGTCGATTCCCATCAACTTTTTCTTCAAAAAGCTTTCAAGGAAGATCAACCAAATGAACATTATTTGGAGCTTTCTAAAACTGTGATTAAATCTGCCAAAGGACTTCCTTTGGCACTCAAAGTATTTGGTTCATTTCTTTGTGGAAGAAGTGAATCAGAATGGGAGGATGCGCTTAGGAAGGTTCCTCCAAATGGCATTTTGGAGATACTTAAAGTGAGCTTTGATGGACTAGAATATAATGAGAAGAATATATTCTTAGATATTGCTTGCTTTTTCAATGGGATGGCTAAGGATGATGTCATACAAATCTTAGAAAATTGTGGTCTTTGAGCAAAAATTGGCATAGGAATTCTTATTGAGAAGTCAATGGTAACCGAAAGCAATGGGTGTTTGAGGGTCCATGACATGCTGGAAGGAAATTGTTGTTCATGAATCACCAGATGATGCAGGGAAACGTAGCAGGATATGGTCCTTGGAGGAAGCTAATCATGTGTTGGGAAATAAGAAGGTAAACTTCCCCCATTCTTGTGATTGTGCATTCTTAATACGATAATTTATTCCATGCATTTTATTCTTTTTATACAAATTCCGTGCACTTTATATATTATTAACTTGATCTTTCTATTTTACATATAGGGAACCGAAGCAATCCGTGGTATGGTGGTAAGATTTGACAAACCATATATCATACATTTGGATCATGAGGCCTTCTCAAGTATGAGCAATCTCAAGTTACTTGTCATGTCAAGTCATTCACATTTGTCACAAGGCCAATTGAATCTTGATGGACTTAACTGCCTTCCTAACATATTGAAAGTCATCGAATGGAAGGAGTATCCTTTAGATTTCCTACCAAGGCAAAATCAATTTCATGAACTTGTTGATCTTAAAATGCAATACAGCACATTAAAAGAACTTTGGAGAGAAACTCAGGTAACTAATGTCCTCTGCTTAGATATGTTTGTCTATAATCTGATGCATGTATCACTAGCTTCTTGTTGGTTTTTGAAGGCTTCTTTTCCTCTTTTCAGTTTCTGCAAAGTTTGAAGTTCATTGATTTGAGTCATTCAACAAACCTGATCAGAACACCAAATTTTGATAAAACCCCTAATCTTCAAAGATTAATTCTTAAAGGGTGTATAAAGCTTGTTGAAGTTCACCGCTCTCTCTGGCAACACAAGAATCTTGTCATTGTTGATTTTAAAGATTGCAAAAGTCTTAAGAATCTTCCAGCAAAATTGGAGATGAATTGTTTAGAGACACTAGTTCTCTTTGGTTGTTCAAAAGTTAAAAAACTTCCTGAGTTTGGTGAAGGTATGGAACGTTTATCCGAGCTTGATTTAGAGGGGACTGCTATATCCAAACTACCACAGTCATTGGTCAATTTGATTGGTCTTGTTATGTTAAATTTAAAGGATTGCAAAAATCTGGTTTGCTCCCAAGTGGTTTTCAAAAATTGAAAGCTATAAAGAATATCAATATTTCTGGTTGCTCAAAGATTTCAAGGCTTCCAGAGAATTTGAATGAAAATTATTCATTAGAAGAGCTCGATGTGGGTGAAACTGCTATAAGAGAAGTGCCTTCATCCTTGAATAATTTAAAAGTATTATCTCTTAGGGGACGTAAGGGCCATGAAGTTCGACAAAGTCGTTCCCTTCTCAAGCTGGCATATAGGCTCCAAAGGCCATCAAGTTCAACAAACTCTTTGTGATCTCCTTCTTTTTCAAATCTATCATCTTTGGGCAATTTACGTTTAAGTTATTGCAATCTTCATGATGACGCACTATCCAGTGGAATTAGCAATTTATCATCACTGAAAGTGCTAGATTTGTGTGGAAACAATTTAATTGAATTTCCTTCTGGCCTCATTTCCAAACTTGAAAAGCTTGAATGTATTACTTTGAGTGATTGCCCAAGCCTTCAGTCTTTGCCTCAAGTTCCAGCAAACCTATCAATTATAGAAGATTGTCCATCATTGAAACATTATGTTAGTTCCCAGCAACTATGGGAATTCATTGAGCAATTTGAATATCAGGTTTGTTTTATTTCTTTTTCACTGTTATGTCTTTCATGTTAGTCATTATAATTCTATATCATACCAAATTTTTTTTTTTCCGTTACAGACTCGATGTAGACTTGAAATCTCAGGTCAAACATGGAAATGCCACTGTTTAAGCGACTACATGTCTGCAATTATAACTTGGGATTCACAAGTTGTGAGTTATTTGAATCTCTAGTTTATTTAGTTTTCTTATCATTCTGTTTCTTACGCACTAAATATTATAATTTTCATCACAGTCTGACTTTATGCAACCGACTCGAGTATTAACTATTCCTGGTAGTGGAGTGCCACAATGGTTTCACCATAGAAACTATTCTTGTGCGGAAGATTGCCCATATGAGTATCCTCCAAAAAATGCGTCATTCGAAGTAAAAACTCCTGATTCTTGCCGCTCAGGTGAATGGTGGGGCGTGGCTGTATGCTTAGTGCTTGAAAATGATGTGGAATTTGCAAATTGCCGTGACAAGGTTTATTGGACTTATAAGGTTTCTAAAGATAAATATTCAAAGTCATTCCGTTGTTGTCACATTCATGTGCAGTCTAATTGTCGTCATCAACGATGTATCATCTATATGGTCTCTTCGTCCTCATAGGGATAAGACGATTATCGTAAATGCTATTTTTCTCAGTGAAATTTCTCGCTTGTCGTTGAGACGTTGACCTTGGGCTTTTTTATCCCCACACTGTTGGTTTTTCCTGATTAAAATTTTGTGTTCCATCTTCTATAATTTTTTTTCCAAATGTCTTAGAATGTTTGGAATAGAGCTTCCAAAAAGAAAAAAAACTTCTATAGAATGTATTTCAAAAAATAAGTTTGAGTAGAATGGATTTATTCAGTGATGCCGCCTGCATATCATATATTAAAATATATAAACAAGTCATCATCTATTTAGATCAGAAACGAAGCTAGAGTGATATTTTTCTCATGCAAAGGACTTGTAAAGGACTTGTAGAGGTTTCATAATAATTTTAAAGCACTTTCATACGATTTTTCTATAATCAGTTATAAATTTTTAAATTTGAACAAAAAAATAGATATGTATCAAGTAAATAGTAATCCAAAAGAAAAATACAAATTTTAATTTGAGTGCTCCGATTAACGGTTTGCAATCATAGTACTTTCAAAGTATGTAAACAAAGTGTTGAAATGACGTAGTACGTTAGAAGTTGGAAGAATGAAATTGCATGCCAGCAGGGACCAAGGTGAGATTCTGTATGCGTTTTCAGTGACGCCAAGAAAGAGAGAGAATGAGAAATTGAGAATATCCAAATTGCATATCATATATTATAATACATAAACACGTGCTGCCACCTGCATATCATATAATACATGAACAAGTGATATCATATATGAAGTGAGACAGAGATAGAGAGAATATTGTATTGAAACTCTATTTTATATTTCTTGTGAGTTTCATCACACTCTCTATCTGTGCCTCTTATTTTTGAAACACACACACACACACATATAAATCACTGACATTCGCATTAATTTTTTTTGGGAACCCACATAACGGTGGATCGAGAAAGGAAGTGGCACACAGGAACAGTCCCAGGCTTCACTTTTAACAATTGGAAGGACACATGTTTTGGGTTCCTAGTTGATGTCTCTCTGTGACAAACACATAAAGCTTTCATTCTGCTCCCATCAGCACCCCCCAAGGGCACTGTATAGGCAACTGTATTCTCTATTTTGTGACAGAGAAACACAGCATACGCGTAATAGAGCTTATGGCATACCGCCTGTGTCCCCCCCCCCCCTCTTCATTCCATGCAATATTGTGTATTCTTCTACTTCCTTTGTTTCCTCCTTCATCGCCTCTGCAGAGAAAGCATTCACATTTTTCCCAAGCTTCAAAGTAACAAAATCAACCATGGATTCTAAAGACGTCGCATAGTACTTTTGTTCTCCTTTGATCCCTGGATCTTCACAAATCTCAATTGTTGTCTTCATCTCCTTAGCATATACTGACCCACGTTTCTCGGCAAGCTTGTTCAATATTTCAGCCATCTGTTGTTAAAATACCAGATAACACATATCATTTGGCTATATATATCTTTTTTCTCAGTAGAATGAATGTGACAGTACTATATATAGCTTGGTTGAAGAAAAGGGAATGGATTTCGCAACTTGACGAGGCAGGAAGGAGGCATGGCTGTTGATGTTCATGAAGAGCAAGTTCATTTTATGACCGGCCTTCAAGTCCTTTTCCGAAAAGAAGACAGTCCCATTGGTGTTGTCATGGGGTGGGGTGCTATATCTAGGGTAGCCGCTAAATATCTTATAGTTATTTCGTGGAGAATGATAGTTGGAAGTATCAGGCATTTCATCGGCCATCTCACGCACACCGCCGTGGTTGGTGGTGCCACCACCTGAGTTGCCAACGTTGACATCAGAATGAACTAACCCAAATGACTGCATTTATTATTGTTACCCGTTAATCATACTAACCAGGCCAGTTGGGTGGAGGAGATCTTTGAGGAGTTCAGGCATGGGAGTATAGGGAAGCATGGACTTCCAATAAATCTCAGGGGCCAAGGCAGCATCATGAGCTGGCGCCACCAACACAACCTTCTAGTTCATAGAGACGCACACGTTCACATCTTAGTTCTGTCTGGAAAATAAAAAGGTGAGAGAGAATAAGAAAGGGAGTGGAAGCTCACAGTGAGAAAAGCAGTAATGATGGAAATGAGTGGAAACTTCATTGTTGCAAAACAAGTCGAGACCGATGATGCGAAACGAGAAACCGAGGGGAATTATATAGACACGGAGAGGGCCCCACATTGGGCTTTTGCTGTGAAATATGGGACCCAGACCTGGATATCCTGACATATAGATTTCATCATATATGAATATGCACGAAGAAATACAAATTAAAATAGGGAAGATTGCAACAAAGTCTCATCCAAAAAAATTAAATATAAAAAAGTCCCTGAAAATCATTAAATTATTCTCAACTCTCAAGGAATCTTATTGCAAGAGAATTTATTTATTTAATTACCAAATTATCTTTTTTTTTTAATTTGTATTGACAATTGAAAGAGCAGTCGTTGACAACTTAAGATGTAAGGATTGACAACTATCGTAGCAGGTATTGACAACCCATATATTATATTTTGTGATGTGCTATCAATACCTATAAACTTATATGTAATATAAAAATGCACAGTCGCATTATGCCACGAGAATAGCAACGATAATAGAACGGGGGAGATTAATAGAATAAGAAGGAATCGAGAGGTAGCAGCAGACTTTTGGGGGGGGGGG